CTAAAAAAAAAAAAAAAGTGAGACGCAACACTCCCCTTCAGCTAGGCCGGAGTCGTGCTCAATGGGATTTGCACAGGTTCTGTTTCCTGGTTTTATTTTTCTAACTTTAATCTTATTCTGATCTACAAATCGTCCTTTTAGAAAGCCAGTATGTTTTCTGGCTGTGAATTCCTCATAGGATAATAGAGCCGGGAGGGTGTTCAGTGATCACCTGGTACAAACTTTGGGGGTGGGGGTGCGGCGGAGCGAGTCTACCCGGCCCGCCCCAGGGGATTTATTGCAGTGTCTGGAGCCGTTTTCATGGTCCCGTCTGGAGGGCACTGGTGAACAGAGGTCCCCGGTGCTGCTAGACATTCTGCCACACCCGGACAGCCCTTGCCACAGAGAATTGTCAAGTCAGTGGCCAGAGAAATGCTGTTTTAGACTCAGGACGGGGCCCTCGGCCTCTGCTCCCCAGGGCACCTCCAGGTATTTTCACAAGTTGTGAAAGTACGACCACCGTAGAAAATTCGAACACGAAGTCTCAGCTCACACAGCTGAGCAAGTGGAGTTGCTTTCGGTGCAGCATTCACCCTCGGGTCGTCCCAGGCAAGTGGGTCGGCGCGGTTTTGCCCCGTTGCCCGGCCTGCCTCCACAGGGCGCGGCGTCACTTCCCTCTCCACGCGGCTGCAAGCCTCAAGGCCCTCGCGACGCACCTTCCGCTGAGGGAACACCTTTGAGCGTCCACTTCCTTTTGAACATGTGGCTCGCTTCCAGATCTTGCCGCCACGTGTCCCACTTTGATGCTCCCTTCTGTGAACGTTAAACCTGTGCTCCCAGGTCACCCATGGAACCCCAGACGGGTGTTCCGCCTTCCATCAGTCACTGCCAAGGACTGGGGTCGTGTCCGAATTTCAATGACGTGTTTCAGGAAATCTTTAGGAAGCCTAGCCATCTCGCTGCTCTTTGTGGAATAAACTGAGTCTCCTCTTTCTCCGTTTTGAACGGTAGACTAGGTTGCTGCCTTGACTTTTGCCTGGCAATTTATCATACGGTCATTGTCGTTTGGCTGGCTTTCTGGAAGTTCTTACATGTGGACAAGACCCATGTGATAAGAGCCCTAAGCGTGTGGGTATCTGAATTCAAGCGTACCCCGAAGGTGATTCTGTGTGCCCTGAGCAACTGAGAAAGCAATGTTCCAGCGTCCTGACATTTGATTTCATGGGGTTCCCTTTCTAATGGAATAAACCTTGGCTTCCTGCAGTAGTCGCTGGGTCGCGGTGGTGGTGGTGACAGAGGTGGTGGAGACGAAAACGGTGGTGGTGGAGGCGTTCGCCATTGCTGGTGGGTGTGTGGAGGTGGGGTGGTGGGGATGGTGGTGGCAGTGAGGACGGTGACGGCGTGGGGAGGTGACGAAGTGGGTGGCCGTGGTGGCGACGGCAGCCCTCATGGAGGACTTTCATGTGAAAGGATTTTGTTAAGCCCTTGCATCGATTTTCCCTTGATAATTTAGACTTCTTTTCTTTCCCAACTTCACTTAGATTTGGAGGGTACACATGTTGGTTACATGAACATATCGTAGAGGAGTGGAGATTGGGTCTCAGGTAGCCCATTCCCCAGACAGTGAATGCTGCACCCAACAGGCGATGTCTGAACCCTAACCCTCCTGCCCACCTCTGCCCGTATTGGTGTCCACTATTTCCATCCTTGTGGCCATTTAGCTCCCGCATACAAGTGAGAACAGGTGGTGTTTGGTTTTCTGTTTCTGAGCCAGTTCACTTAGGATGACGATCACTACCTCCACCCATGCTTCTGCAAAGGACATG